TTAATTCAGTTAAATAAAAAATACTAACAATGAAGTATTTGTAATTTTTCAAACCACAGAGGCAATCTATACTTTAAGTGAACCTCAGGGGGTGTATTTGTAATTTACCCTTTTCATTGTCGTGATGTCCACCCTTGCAACCCCGACCTTCATGATCGTGCCACCTATTCTCCACGACTCCTCTCATATTTTTATGAGCACCCCAGTCTCTCGCTTTGCCTCCATGACCACCCTTACAGTCGTTCAGATAACCAAATCCAAAAAAAAGGTTGTTTTACAATAATATGTAGTTGAACAAAAGAGAACTATCCAAACATAGCCGATTGGAGTTGAACAAAGGGCACTTGTTTAGTTGTAAAGCACTAGATAGATGCAAAAGGTTTGGCTCTGTATAGCTGAATGAGGTTGTAGTATCACTACAAGAAAAGTGGGTTTATGAGACGGAACTATTTGCGACGGCACACTTGCCGTCTCAAAAAGTCACTTTTTGCGACGGCAGAAAATGCCGTCTCAAAAAAATAGAGTATTTGCGACGGCACCATTTGCCGTCTCAAAAAAGTAGAGCATTTGCGACGGCACAATTTGCCGTCTCATTCGTCGCAAATGCTCTCATTTTTTGAGACGGCAAATTGTGCCGTCGCAAATGCTCTGCTTTTTTGAGACGGCAAATAGTGCCGTCGCAAATACTCTATTTTTTTGAGACGGCATTTTCTGCCGTCGCAAAAAGTGACTTTCGTGTTTTTTTTTTAGTGAATATTTTTAAAATTTTAAATATTTTTTTTAGATGCACCTTACTTAGATTTATCTAAAAAAAAATTATGAAAAAATATTTTTAAAAATTAATAAATACATAAAAATATAAAAAAAATGTATTGAATTATTGTATTTTTAGTATTTAGTGAATTTTTAAAAGCCTTCCATATTCTTTAAAAAAAAATTTACAATTTTTTTAATTTTTAGGTGTATTTATGTTAGGTGTGTCTAAAAATTAAAAAAAAATACTTAAAATATTAAAAAAATTCAGTAAAAACAATATAACACGGAAAACAAGAAAGTATAATTTTCTCAAAAGAGTTTTTGGAAAACTCTAATCTAGCATAGTGATTGTGGTTTTGAGACAGCTTCATATATATACAGTCACAAAATGGTTTGAATAAATTCAACGATATTTTTTTGTCGCAAAAAAAATTTAAAAAAAACAATGTCGTCTTACTCTTTTGATATAACATTTCTCTTTTCATTCATTTTTTCATCTTCCTGTCTCTCTGTCTCTATCTCTCTGTCTCTTCTCTTTATCTCTTTCACTCATCACTCTTCTTTCTCTGTCTGTCTGTTTCTCTCTGTGCCTCTCGCCTATCTCTCTCCTCTCTATCTCTCTCATCTGTTTTCTCTCTCTGTCTCTCTCGCTCATCTCTCTTCTCTCTATCTCTCTCGTTTCTTTTCTCTCTCTCTCTCTTATCTTTCTATCTCTCTCTATCTCTCCCACTCATTTCTCTTCTCTCTCTGTCTCTCTCTTTTTCTGTGTCTCTCTCTCGCACATCTCTTTTCGCTCTATTTCTTTTTTTTGTCTATCTCTCGCTCATCTCTTGTTTCTCTCTCTTTTTCTATCTCTCCCTCTATCTCTCTCTCTCTTTCTCTCTCTATCTCTTTTTCTGTCTATCTCTCTCTCCCTATCTCTCTCTCACTCATCATTCTTCTCTCTCTCTCTCTCTCTCTCTCTGTTTACTTGTCTATTTGTCTATTTCTCTCTCACTATGTTCGCCTTGCTCACTCTCTTACTCCCATCTTCTCTATTTATCGAGCTCCTTCTTGATTTATCGATCCACTATAAACGGCGCCGTCTTACTCTTTTGAACATTTATCTTTTCACCAATTTTTTCGTCTTCCTATCTCTCTGTCTCTGTCTCTGTCTCTGTCTCTGTCTCTCTTCTCTTTCTCTTTCTTACTCATCACTCTTCTATGTCTGTCTATCTGTCTCTCCATTTCTCTATGTATCTCCACCACCACCACCATCATCTCTTATCCACCACCTTCACCACTACTGCCGCTTCCTCTCCTCTACCACAAAATATTACCTCTCCCCTCTCTCTCACTCATCACTCTTCTCTGTCTGTCAGTTTTTGTCTCTGTCTCTGTCACTTTCTCTTTCTCTCTTTGTCTCTCACTCATCTCTCTTCTCTTTATCTCTCTCATCTCTCTATCTCTCTTCTCTCTCGCTCACTTATCTTCTCTTTATCTCTCTCTCTGTCTCTCTCTCGCTCATCTTTATTCTCTCTTCGTCTCTCTCTTTTTCTATGTCTTTCTCTCGATCATCTCTTTTCGCTCTCTTTCTCTCTCTTTTTGTCTATCACTCGCTCACCTCTTGTTTCTCTCTATTTTTCTATATGTCTCTCCCTCTCTATAGCTCTTTCTCTCTTTGTCTCTCTCTCACTTACCACTCTTCTCTCTCTCTCTCTCTTTGTGTCTGTTTGTCTGTCTCTCACTCTTCTCTCTCTCTCTCTCTATGTGTCTATCTGTCTGTTTGTCTCTCTCCCCCATTGTGTTCACCATGCTCACTCTCTCCATCATCTCTTCTCTATTTACCGAGCTCTCCACTACAAGAAAATGCACTTTTAGCGACCACTTTGTCTCTCTCTCGCTCATCACTGTCTCTGTCTGTCTATCTATCACTCTCTTTCTCTCTATCTCTGTTCTCTATCTGTCTCTCACTCATCTCTCTCTCACCACCTATCTTCTCTACCACATTCACCACTACTGCAAATGCAATTCCACTACTACCACTGTTGTCACTCAACCTCTACAACTATCATTACTACCATCATCGCAACCACTCCACTACCACCACCACTACTACCATTATCTCTCATCCACAATCGCTATTCTATCTCCTCTACAACTACCACAACTTCACCACTTATCTCCTTCACCATCACTACCACCACCACTATCACCTCTTATCCACCACTTTCACCACTACTGCCACTTACCATCCTCTACCACAAAAAATTAGTTATTGATTTTTAGTAACAAAAAAAAAAATGGGTCGCAAAATTTTTTTTTCATTGACCACAAAAAATTAACTTTATTTTAATAGAAAATATTATCCCTACTTCTACCAAATAAAAAAAGAATAATAATTTTTTATTCATTAAAATAATATATGAAACAAATAAATTTTCAACCTTATTAAATGAAAAAACAAATTCATTAACTATAAAAAAAATTATTTTAATAAAAAATAATTTTTTTTGGCAACAGCATCCTCCGTTGCAAAAAAAAAAAGTCATTTTATTATTTAAATATTCATTTGTAATGAAAATAAAAATAAAAAAATCATTTGTAATCTCTTCCAATATTCATTTGTAATGAAAATAAAAAAAAAAATCATTTGTAATCCCCCCTCTTTCCATTCCCGCTCGGGTTTCCCCCCACCCCAAACCCAAAATCCCCAATCTCTTGAACCAAAATCCCCAATCTCAAAATCTCTAATCTCTTCTTACGTCTCTCTCTCTCTCTCTCTCTCTCTCTCTCTCTCTTTCTCTTTCCGTCTCAATTTGTTTCAGATGCTGATTCGGATGATTCACGGTCTAGGAGGAAGAGGAAGAGGAAGAGGAAGAGCACGAGTTCTAGGCGTAGAAGTAGGAAATCGATGGCTTCATCTACGGATTCCATGGACAACACTTTCAGAGCTCGAGTCCAGAAGATATTCGGGTCTCTCTCATCATCATCATCATCGCTAAGCCCTCTGTGGTCTCTCACCGACGGCGAGGTCGAGAAGAGAGAGTGGCGACGACCCTCCTCCGCCAAAGACGACGACCAAACCCCCATTTCTTTCTCTTTCGATGGCCTTGCTTGTAGGGTTGTAGTGTTGTAGGGTTCCGCCATAAAAGGAGGTAGATCAAAAACAGAGAGCAAAAGGACTGATAGCAAGTAAGCTTTGTTTGCCTTGTTGTTTTTGGAGTTTTTAGATCTGAGATCTATTATGCGTGTGATTCAAAGTGTGTTTTTTTGGTATTAAAGATCGATTTTTTTGTTGTTAGGCTTTCGGTGAAGAGAGGTGCTCCGAGCGAGAGTGTTTTTGTCGCCGCCGTGAGTGTTTTCACCTCATTTGTTTTACAGATTTTTGATTTGTGGATTTTGTTCAAGTTTAATTTCGGGTTGGCTCTGGTTGCCCTCCTCTGTCTATGAACTGGACCGAAACTAATTCAGGCTGGTGAATTTCTTCCTAAGCTTGACCCAAAGACTTGAAAATTTTGTCCAGTCCCAATTTTTTTTTAGGCTGTGCTCAACCTACCCAAGTTGCAATCGTATTTAGCACAAAATGTATACAAAAGATGTGTGGATCCAAGTTAGGGATGTTATGTTTTTAAACCACTAATGAAGAAAGAGGAGAGAGAGAAGGGAAAAAAGTAGAGAATAAAAAAGAAAAAGGGGGAAGGCATGAAGGAAATTTGGTCAAAAGCCACTTCTTCCATAGCGCGCGCGCGCGCACACACACACACAAAAAAGGAGCTTTGTAATTGTTGGAGCATAACATAATGTGGTAAATACCTCCCCTGTTACCTTGAGAATGACAATTGCACCTGTACTCTTAATGCAATGTACGTAAGAATGCCATCCTATAATTTTTCTTTTTGAATAGATAGAATACTATTCTATAAATAATTTTGATAAATAGCTCGGGTTATGTTATATTCTGTACTCTCTAGTCCATGAGGCATTGGTAGCTAAATGTTTAAATATAATTTCTTGAAAACACATCCAGTTTATATTGAGTTATTAGTATTCTTATCTAGTGCATGTTTCCCTTCATTTAATTGTTTTGCAATAATATAGAGGTATATCGAAGATGACAAGAATGCTTTTTATTTTCGTATCTCACGAAGAATGGAATTTATGACTTTTGGAATTGGTTTGATGATCGGACCTAGTAATTGTGACCCTAGTGGTGGTTTTCATATAGCAAAACTCTTGTTTATTTCTCTACTATAGGTTGTTACGTAATGAATGCAAAGTGACACTGTATATTTGATCTGTTCTAAGGTATCCTCTTGGACATGTGATTGGTGGAACTGTTTACCCTGGATTGACATTGACAGCTGGCACCATGTGGTGGTGTGTATTTGAGATTGAGACTAGAGATTAAGAACATTAATTTTCTGTGTTCCTTGTTACCAGATTAGTGAACTCTGTACATCTGGTTTTCCTTTATTATAAAACAATCAGAAGGGTGAATTTGAGTGAGTCCTGCTGCATTAGTTATTGCTGAGACTTACTTTCTGATGGCAGGATACTGAATTCTTTGAATATTCCTCTGTCTGTGGAAACTATTTGTGTATTTATGGCTCCAGTATTCTCTGCTATTGCTGCATGGGCAACCTACCTTCTCACAAAGATTCATGTTCTATTTTTATTTTTGTTTTGGAACATGTATTTCTAGAACCTAGGACTCGTTATGTATTATGTTTAATGTGAGTTTTCTGCAAACTGAGATTTCTCAATCTTGTCCAATACCCCAACACGCAGGAAGTTAAGGGTGCGGGTGCTGGACTGACTGCAGCAGTTCTTTTAGCCATGGTAAATTATATATAGGGTAGTTGTACCTTTATTTTCTATTCATTTTATGAAATTTTGAAACTTTGAGCAGCATTCTAACATGTAAAATGCAACTTATGTTATATCGAATCACGTGGTTATGTTTCATTAGTTCAGACTTTGATTTGATAAAAAACAATTTATCATTATTTCACTAGGATTGTCTTTCTTTTTCCTTTCTTAACTTTTTTTATTATTACTTTCTAAAATAGATATTTTTTGTCACACTTCTTTCCTAATATATAGAATGTGGAAAATATTTTCTTATTATTTTGATATAATAAATTATAGATGAATTGGTAACATAATAAATGAAGAAATTGTTAATTTTTCCATGCATAATAAAGAAACACACACATACATATACTTGTTGCCTGCCATATTGGGTCTTCAATTTTGAAAATTGTCGTGTAACATGTCTGTATCTTTATATATCTTCTTGAATGTGCATGTTTTTTTGAGTGTCTAGCATTGTCAAATTATAGACATATTTGAAATTTGAACTTGATATTTTTCTCAGCTTCTAGTGATATTTAGTAGGCTTTTTCCATTTCAGTCAGAAGCAGAGAAGATGCTGCAAAACTCATAATTGGCTTTATTGTTCCTAGTCCAATTTGATTCGTTTCCACTATAATTGTCTAGTAGTTACATTATAATCACATTCGATCAAGTACAGTTTTGAGTGTTGTGTTCTTGTTTTGTTCCATATGATATAATATAATATTTGAAGATGTGGCGTGGTGGTATTTGGCAATATTGCAGATAGGACAAGCATGTAGGCCAGTGGTAAAGGGTTTGGGAATGTGGGGTTCGGTCAAAGCTCTAGGAAGAGGATACGAGTACATAATGGGGGTTGTCATCTTTGTACCTATTACTATGTTGGCGTGGTTCCCATTAGTCACAGAATTCCAGACCAGGTTGCTATTCAACCAAGCTTTCAGCCGAGGGCTTCAGATTCAACGCATTCTCGCTGGTGGGAAGAAGCAGAAGCAGAAGTAATTAAGTACAAGTAAAATACTTTCTGCACACAATTTGATTTGTGGAGAGAGAGAGAGAGAGATACATGATTGCAATGTCAAGTTTACTCAATTGTATATTGATCTCCTCCACTTTCTTCTTCTTTTTCATATCAGCTATACTGGAAATGAATTTTAATTCTCTTTGGTCTGTGTTGTCATCTCTCTCCTCTCTTCTCTCTTTCTCTCTCTCTCTCTCTCACACAATATGCTTGAATTGGGATTTTTCATTCATTACCTATGTATAGTGAATATATCGTGTATACTTCCAGTTAGAACCTGTAACAAAATCATGTATTTAAACATTATATATGTATTATGGAACATTATGTAGTGGGATAATTTTGTTGATGTGTAATTATATGAATGGAAAAATATTTTATTATGAAGAAATTGTTATTTTTATATTATTATGGAGAAATTTTAATATTTTTAATATTTTTATCGTAGGATGTGTTTTTCTTTTTTGCGACGGCATTACACCGTCGCAAAAAATAGAAAATTTTAATATTTTTATTAATTTTGTTACGGGTTTTACTTTTTACGACAACATTATACTGTCGCAAAAAAAAGAAATTTTGTTATTTAAAATAGAAATTTTTTTATTTTTTAATACTTTTTGCGACGGCACCACACCGTCGCAAAAAATAGTGTTTTGCCGTGGCAAAAAAAGACTATTAGCGACGGTATTTTTTCCCGTCTCAAATAACATTTTTAGCGACGGTAAAATAGTGTCGTCGCAAAAAAGTCCAGAAATTTCAAACGTTATTAGCAACTGCACAGTACCGTCGTAAAAAGGCAAAAATGCCGTCGCGCAAAAACTCTCTTGCAACCCCTGCATTTGCGACCCCCTCTGGCCGTCGCAAAAAGTCATTTTGCCGTCGCAAAAAGTATTAGCGACGGCATTAGGAGTAGTAGCGACGGTATTTTACCGTCGCAAAAAGTCAATTTTTTTGTAGTGTATTGGCAGCTAAAGTGTGAGGTTAAAGAGAAAGATCAATAGAGAGAGAGAGAGAAATAGTCACACGTGACAGAGAATGAAAGAGGATGCTCGATTGAATTTAGTGACGATTGGGATGAAGGATGGCTTAAAGTTAGGGTTTGAGAGATAAAAGAGAGGGAGTTGACGAGAAAGGTAAGTTGGGAGTAGTGGCGACATCACTAGAGGTGATGGTAAGTGGTAACTGAGATGGAGAAAGATGTGGTTGGAATGGAAAAATAGTAGGGAATAAGGGTTGCTAAAGAAAGAGGTAGGAGAGGTAGAGATGCAAAAAAAAGTGCAAAAGTTGGTAATATGGTGGAGGTCCCCTTATCTTTTCCTTCACCCTCTATAGAACCCTAACTTGCCAATAGCTCTTCTCTACCTCCCTACCCTCACTAGCCCCTTCCTTATCTCCTCTCACTACTACCATCGCTTTCTTCACCCTCGATACTTTTCTCATTCTACTATTCTCTATTCTTGATACCTCAACCATCTAGCAATCCTTCATCTACTGCATCCTTTACCTTTTCCTATTGTCGTAAATCACTTTCCCACCTCCCCTAGTAGCCATCGACACCTCTCTTACTCTTATCGCCCCTCTCCTACCTACCTTAACATCTGTAAACCATTCCCTCTCTCATCGCACCTAGCACCACTACAACCAACCATCACTTTGAGTTAGCAACCATGTTTCTACATATATATATATATATATATTAGGATTTAATTTTGATTTGGGTTTTGAGATATGAGATTTGATCCAAATCTTTGATTTGAGGTCTCTCTCTCTCTCTCTCTCTCTCTCTCTCATAGATGATGGTAGGTCAAGTTTTGTGTTGATACTGGTTGTTGAGTTTGTTAGGGTTGTTAAGGTTTTGTTGGTGGACATGGGGTAGTAGAGAGAGGGATTGAGGCTGTTGGTGGTGGGCATAGGGTTTTGGTTGGAGCTGTTGATTAGATTGAGGGATTATAGCTATCAGTGGTGGACGGTAATGGTGTGGTGAGGCGATGATAATTCTAGGAGAGTAGGCAAGTTTATTTAAGCATTGGCAGCATCAAAAAGTTCGATGCAGTGGTCAATGACGAGTAAAGTCACCAAAATTGCAAAGAATAGATGAAAATGTTTTTTGGTCTTTTCATTTAAATTAGACTAAATATTCCATGTTATTGCAATTAATTTAAACCATTTAATTTCTATTATGAAAACATCCCATTGATTTGAGATTATTATGCATTACTTTTATTATTTTTTTAAATATTTAGTTAATATTATAAAATAGGATAAAAAAAATAAGAGGAAAAAGCGATTCTTATTTCTTTCTTATTTTCTTATCGGGAGGAGAAAAACTCATCCAACGCTATAACACAAATTGCTAAGGGCTCCCCCCACAAGTTTTGCGGTAAGTCTGAACATAATTAGCAGACAATATTGTTTCCCCTCATAAGTTTTGCGGTAAGTATGAATTTAGTAACATGACATTCATCATTTCTTTAAGAGTTCTATTCTTCCTTTCAGCAATTTCATTTTCCTGTGGAGAATAAGGTGCTGTAGTCTGGTGAATAATGCCATGTTGTGCACAAAATTCATTTAAAGGTGCATCATATTCACCACCCTCATCACTTCTAACCATTTTAATGGTTTTACCAAGATGATTTTCAACTTCAGTTTTGTAGAGTTTAAACATTTCCAAGGCTTCATCTTTACTTCTAAGTAAATTTACATAACAATATTTTGTGCAATCATCAATAAATGTTATGAAATACTTTTTGCCTCCTCAAGTTTGAACAAATTTAAGATCACATACATCAATATGAATTAATTTTACAGGTTCAGTTTTTCTTTCAACCGATTTAAATGGAGCCTTAGTTGGTTTTGGTTCAACACATATCTCACATTTGTGATTAGGATCAATTTCAAAATTTGGTATATTATCTAAACCAATTAGTCTACGCAAAGCATCAAAGTTCACATGTCCTAATCTACCATGCCATAAATTTGACTCAAGAATATAAGCAAAAGATGTATTATTCTCAATAATAGCAGATTTTGGTACAACAGTCATTACATTCAACTTGAAGAGACTATCGCTCATGTATCCCTTACCTACATACCACTCTTGTTAATACAAACTTATTAGATTTAAATACAAGTCTAAAACCATTTTTGTTTAACAAAGAACTATAAACTAAATTCTTTCGGATGTCTGATACATGTAACATGTTGTTGAGGCTAAGTTCCTTCCTCGATGTCATCTTCAAGATAACTTTCCCTTATCCAGCCACAACAGAAGTAGATGAATTTCCCATGAATAGTTGTTCACCATTTGAAGCCTCTTTATAAGTAGTGAACATTTTATTGTCTGTGCAAATGTGTCGAGTTGCTCCAGTGTCCCACCATTCCTTGGGATTTCCAACCAAATTAGTCTCAGACACCACAGCAGAGAGATTGATGTCATTTACCCCGTCAGAGATGTAATCTAGTTTTGTCACATTGGCTTGATTGGTAGTCTTCTTGCTTGTACTTCCGCATTCCTTCTTAGGGCGGCGGCAATCAAAAGCACGATATCCAATCTTGCCACAGTTATAGCATTTTCTTTTGAACTTTTAATTGCCATTTGTTGTCGCCTTGTTTAGGACCATCTCCAACAAACTTTCTCTTCTTGTTATGTGGTTTGGGCACTTGTTCCACTACATTAGCTTTGGACTCAATGGGATTTTTGCTATTCCTCTTTTCAGCCTTACAGTTATCTTCTTCAATTCTTAGTCTTACAATAACTTCATCCATGGTCATCTCTTTGCATTTATATTTTAAATAATTTTTGAAATCTTTCCAAGCCTGTGGTAATTTTTCCACTAAAGCAACGACTTGAAAAGATTCACTAACAGACATACCCTCAGCATGAATATCATGCAAAATTAATTGAAAACTTTGAACTTGAGAAATTATCGTTTGGGAATCTCTCATAACAAAGTCCAGAAATTTACAAAAACAAATTTCTTTGTGTCGGCATTCTCAGTCTTGTATTTTTTCTCCAAAGAATCCCACAATTCTTTTGCTACTTTCAGAGGGCTGTAAACATTATACAACATGTTTTCTAGGCCATTGAGGATGCAATTTTTGCAAAGAAAATCAGAATGCTTCCACGCATCCACCGCGACAACAACTTGCCAATCACTTTCATCCTCTTTAAGCACCGGAGCATCTTCATGGAGAAATCGGGCAAGATTAAGAGTTGTAAGAAAAAACAGCATTTTTTGCTCCCATCTCTTAAACTCGGTGCCATTAAATTTTTCTCATTTTTTTCCATGATTTATTGGAACTTGAACATGGTTTTGGGTAAGGACCAGAGTCGTTGTAAAAATCGGATTTGGAGTACTACTTTCAGAAGCCATAATATCTGATTACAAAAATCAGAAAAAATCAAAACCAAAGCACAAATTAATTTTCTAGTTACTAAAACCAGAAAATAAGTTATAACACAAAATAATTTTACTTTTCTAGTTACTAAAATCAGGAAAAATAAAATACAAAACAATAACTTTTTATTACAAAAACCAAAAAATTATTTTATTGGATTCAAATAAAATAGGTTTATAAAACGAATTTTTTATTAATACAATGAAGACTTTTTAAATAAACAAATTCTGTTTTAAGATTGTTGGACAATCTTCAATGTATTCAAAGAAAGGATTGAAGAAATGAGAGAAATCGTTTGATTACAAAAATCAAACTAATATATAAAAAAAAATAAGAAACAAATTCTTATTTTGTTAAAAAAACAAAACGGAATCTGAAAATAAAAAATAATAAAAATAGGAAATTTATGCAACCACTTACCTTATTATTTTTTTGAACAAAATTTTCATCAAGTCTAGTGTTTAACACTGTGTCCTTAAGATAGATTCATCCTCTCCTCGATGTTTTCAAATTATGGATGTCTATCTCCCATGATAAAATGATAAAAAACGAACAGTAGCAGCACTACAAACTATTCGCACAACGAACACACTTTGTGTTTATACACTTTCTCACAAGAAAAATAAATGCGGCAAAATGCAAAAAGCAATGGCAAAAGTAAAGACGAAATATTCAGTGCAAAATCCAAGTGAGGGACTGACTATTTATAAAAAAAAATTGTGGCTTTTCAGAACAGGTAAAACCTTGTTCG